TGTTTTGTTTCTTAAAAATGTATTATTTTATTTAAAAAAAAACTTGATAAATACTTCTTTTGAAATATATTTTCGTTAAATATATTAATTTCAATTTAATGTCACCATCGACGTTAAAGGGTACTTAAATATTAATTTAAAATATTTGTAATACTAAAATAACATTTTGCTTATTTACTAATTTACTAATTAACATTCATATTTATCTAAATGAACATAAAAAATCAATTATCATGAAAAAAAAATCAGTAATATCACACATTGAAATGGAAATACAATTTAAAAGTTTTTGTATAACTTTTTACTAATCAAGCAGTGCACTTATTGTAGATCATTAATATTAAAAAAAAATGTATTCCAGATAAAAAACTATTATTTTTATAAATAAAATAAATAATTAAAAAAATCAAAAACCTAACTGCAAAAGAGACAATTTAAAAGTAATGCACACACAAAACATACCAATACAATATTGAGAATAGAAAACAAAATTAAAATAAACTATCTTGTCTAAATCCGCCATTTTTTTTTCAAACAGCTCAAAGGACACTTGGGTTTTTAAGAAGAATATAACAATACATTAATTGTCAAAATCAATCCCGCCGTTTGGAGGATACGTGGTAAAAAAGAAATTTACAAATATACAAGATACGAGCGAAAAACATAATAATACTTCCTTGGCAGTTGGGTAAAAAATACGTTAATAAAAAGTATAACAGTACAGAGAAAGGAGAAAATTATAAAATATTTTCTTGTTTTGAAGCACCAACTATTTTTTTATAGGATGAGGGTGACAAACGAGCACACAGTTCACCTGATGGTAAGTGGTTGCTGTGGCCCATAAACATCTACATCTATCCTCGATTACGAATCAAAAAGCAGATGCGTTGTCACCCGTGAGGACTAAGATAGAATGCCTCGTTTCCAGTAAAAAGTGTCTCCGGTTTTCTACACTTACCATACGAAACACAGCAGTGTTAAGCTGTTATGTTACGCTGGTATTCTGTGAGAGAGTGGTCCTTCCCCGGGCGAGCCGACTCATTTGTGCTAGAACTATAGCTGCAGCATGGCTCAATCACGTAAAAAAATCACTTTCCCACTATTAAATCTATCAAATATTACACCTTATTTTTAAGTTTTGCCGCCCTGGTGGCAAGAAAAGTCGTGGATGCCCTTATTAAGGGAGGGCGGAAAGTGTTTCTTCAAACTAGGTAAGACACAGCTTTTCATTTTATTACGCGGATCTCAGCTGATTATTTTTTAGCATCCATTGAGTTATATGTACTACGTACTAGAGAAGCCTTTCTAAACAAAAAATGTGCACTACTCTATGACTTCGCGCATGCGCGGTATAGTAAAGATCTAAGCGCGTTGCGTCAGTTTATATAAAGAAATATATTTTTTCATTCATTTTTCTTTTGTAATATTACGTACGATATTATTACCTATTTATTCACTTGAACAACAAATAATTAACTTTAATTTGAAATCTTTTATTATTAGCGCCGCTCCACAGTGCATGAATATTGAAACCACAGACTAACTAGTATATTGAAACCACACTATATGACACACTGTACGGATTTCAGTACAGTTCAGTTGAACATGGCGTATGTTCGGAATGCACAAACTAGTACGTAGTACATATATATCGATGTTAGCATTTAATGATTGTTGAATCTGTATGTGATGACTTTAAGGGCAGCTTGTTTAGATCGCGTGACTCCCTCTGACTAATAAATATTACTAGTTAGATGCCATTAAATGCGGGGAAGGTGGATCGGTGCGGGATCACGTGGCGGCTCCCACGCCATATTGAGCTCTGAGCGGCTGCGATCATCCTCAATTATTCAGCACGTCTAACCGCCACCCCCCTCACTTTAAACGGTTCGCGCCGCTGTTTGTTTAAACTGATTCAGAAACTTGACTAATTGTAATTGGCCCGCGGCTACTGGATTACCAATACACATTGCCAACGTAAGTATTAGAATGCACAGTTTCTGGAGATACTTGAAAACATTGTTTTTTATTACATTAACAACAACTTGTTCTTTATTTTTAATATTAACTGATTTTTAAACGAATTCAAAAAAGGAGAGGTTCTCAATACGACTATATTTTTTATGAGTGTTATCTCATAACTTTTATCTCGGTGAACCGATTTTGATGACTCTTTTTTTTTATTTGAAAGCTGATGCTTCTCATGTGGACCCATATAAATTTGATCAAGATCTGACCAGCGGTAGTTTGAGTTATCCTTAATAATGCGTATTTAATTGACTTCGACTACATTGATGATGTTCTCAATTTATTTATATTGAGCCATTTTTTTAAATTTTACCACTTATTTATAAGGGATATTTTAATACATTTCTTCAAAGGCAAAACGTAAAAGTAAATACAATATTTGGAATTATAGTTTAAAATATTTTTAAACTATAGCGGCCAGTCTCAATGGAGACTAGCCATATGTGCACTACAGGATTATAGTGCTCGAGTGTGTGCGCAAGCAATCATTCGCAATGATTCATACGGTGAGTGTTGAGAACCGGAGTTCCCTTCTTACTGTAAACGAGCTATTCCATATTAATCCTTAGGAGTGACAACGCATCTGTATTTTGATTCTTAATCGAGATGTGGGCCACAGCATCTACTTACCGTCAGGTGGACTGTGTGTCCGTTTGTCATCCTCATTCTATAAAAAATGTGCACTGAAAAAATACTAAACCTGCTTAACTACGTTCATTCATTCATAATATATAGAAAATTTCTTCTATCGTACATGCAAAAGCCTTTTAATCTAAGTATATATACAACATGTAACAAAAACCATGTGGTTTCCGTTAAGCGCATTATCAGGATCAGTATTCAAACCTATAGAAATAACTATTTTTTAAAACTCCACCTAATTTTTTTTTAATTTTTTGTGGATTTATTACCTCTTACTGACACTAGCCGATGCTAAAGCTAAGTAAAGCGGGGTCTTTGACAATCCTCTTACTCCCCGGACAATGCAGAGGTAATAAAACCATATATAAAGAACATACAATTGTCTTTTAAATAAAATAAAAAAAAATTGGTCGAGTTTTTAAAAACAAGTTATTTCTATAGGTTTGAATACTGATCCTGATAAAGTACTTAACGGGGAACCACAGGGTTTTTGTTACATATTGTATAAAAGGCAAACCTGACTGACTCATCTATCAACGCACAGCCGAAACTACTGAACGGATTTCGCTGAAATTTGTCATACAGACAGTTGTAATGACGTAGGCATCCGCTAAGAAAGGAATTTGAAAACTCGTCCCCTAAGGGGGTGAAAAAGGGGTTAAAAGTTTGTATGGAAGTCCGTCACTTTTACCGTTTCCCTCCTACGGGAGAGAAATTGTCCACTTCACTGTTCATTTAGAAAATGGGCAAAGGGTTTATTTTAATGAGCAAAATCTGAGTGAAAGAGTGAATAGTCCTCCAACAACCACACTCCTATCCTTTTTCGATTTGTGTAAAGTGAATAACTTTGAAAAAACATTACTCTACCTAGAAGTAACTGCATACTGCGTTTGGTATAAAAGAAAGTTCCAAAGGTGAAAGAGAGGAGCAAATGGTGAAGGCTGACCAGGGGTCAAAAAAGAGGACGTTCTGGGCAGGGTTTATACTGTGCATCCGAACAATAAAGAATGCTATCACCTTCACATGCTTCTTCCGGGGCCCAATTTCGTTTGAAGCGTTAAAAACTGTAGATGGTCGTGTATATTCCACGTTCCAATCAGCGTGCAAAGCTCTCCGCTTGCTTGAAGATGATCAGCATTTGTTCGCAGCAATGGAGTAGGCTTTTGCTAAGTCAGTGCACTTCACCATCTTAGGCTACATCACCACTTACCATCAGGTGTGATCGTAGATAAGCGCTGGCTTAGTAGAATATTAAAAAAAATGGAAGAGGCAGTACTTTGCCAATCACCGCAAATTATTCGGGATCTTTTTACGGTTATTTTAGTGTTCTGCCAAGTATCAGACCCTTTAAATCTTTGGGAGAAATTCTAAGAATACCTATCTGAAGATTTTAAAAGGCAATTAGAAAGACCGGGAGATGTGGATGTAGAGCACATAACAGATGTGGTATTTAACACATGCCTTTCGGTAATAGAAGATGCCGTATTAGCGTTGGGTAGTCGGCTACTAAAAGAGTTTGAAAATAGAGAGTTTCTTAGAGACAAGTTCCGACTTAGCATCATTAGAAACCACAGTTAAAAATAACGAAGGATCACTGAATGACAAACAAAAAGCAGTTTACAATCAAATTAGCACAAAAATTGAATCAAATGAGGGTGGAATATTCTTTTTAGACGCTCCCGGTGGAACAGGCAAAACATTCCTCATAAATTTGCTATTAGCAAAAGTTAGAAGTACTCGCGGAATTGCTTTGACTGTGGCTTCTTCTGGGATCGCAGCTACACTGCTTGAGGGTGGACGAACTGCTCATGCTACCTTCAAGTTACCACTCAATTCAACAACAGCTGATACTCCTATTTGTAATATATCGAAACAAAATAATTTTGCTGAAGTATTAAAACATACGAAAATGATGGTGTGAGATGAAATAACCATGGCTTATAAGGGTGGCTTAGAGGCTTTAAACAGAACTCTATAAGATATAAGAGGAAATAAAAAGTTAATGGGTGGTGTAACGGTTTTGTTGGCTGAAGATTTTAGACAGACTCTACCAGTAGTGCCAAAAGGAACTAGAGCAGAAGAAGTTAAGGCGGGTCTTAAGAGATTCACTCTATGGCCTCTAATTAAAATCCTCAAGCTCCCGAAAACTATGCGGGTACACTCAGGAGAAAGAGAGTCTGCTGGTGGATTTACGAATCTCCTACTTGAAATCGGCAACGGTGATTACCCGATAAATAACCATCCCTGATAATATGTGCACAATTGTATTTGCGTTACAGGAGTTAATATCCAAAATTTACCCAGATATTGCTCATATCCACGATAAGCCAATGGAATGGTTGTGTGAACGTGCCATACTAACCCCGAAAAACGGCCAAGCAGCGGCAATTAACGATACACTGTTAACATCTTTTGAGGGGGAAGTAATGGTGTACGCGTCGATAGAACCCGTGGTCAACACAGATGACGCAATTAACTACCCTGTGGAATTTCTTAATTCACTGAAACCATCGGGTCTTCCACATCATAAGCTTATTCTGCGCGTGGGCACTCCTGTTATGTTGTTGCGAAATTTAAAACCTCTTCAACTGTGCAAAGGACCCAGACCAAAAGAAAAAGCATTACATCGCAATGTAGTGGAAGCCATAATTATAACTGGATGCGCGCTAGGGGAATCTGTATTTGTACCAAGGATTCCCTTGATCCCGAATGATCTTCCCTTTGAATTCAAACGGATACATTTTCCCCCCAAAGTCTGCTTTGCAATGACCATAAAGAAAGTATAGACTTGAGAGAAAATTGTTTTTCCCACGGACAATTCTATGTGTCTTGCTTACGCATAAGCTCGCCCAGTAGTCTGATAATTTTGACACACAGTAGTAAATTAGCAAAACATGTGGTGTATAAAGAAGTTTTGTAGTTTATGAGCTTTTGCCCGCGACATCCAGTTATAATTGTGGTTTGTACCAGCAGACCCTTTTTCACAAATGGACGCGATATAACCGAACTCCCCGCGGACGAAGTCGCGGGCAAAAGCTAGTAAGTAATAAAAATAATAGTGGAAATCAATTAAGATTTATTTAAATATTACTAAACATAAAAAAACACTCTTCTAAAAGATTCACAACATGACAAGTCAGACGTATCAATGTTAATCAAGTGAGAGAGAGTTGTACCAGAACACCTTACCGACGTTCGTGTTACTAAACGGAACCTCCAACTGCTTCGAGCTGTGCTTTAAAAACACACCATAAGAAACAATCTCCAAGAGCATTGCTCCGAAAGTCGTTTTGGGTTGGAAGGAAAAAAATTGAAGCCATCTGATCTGTCAAATAGAAGAGGCTAGTCAGTCGCGGTAAATTTATATGAATGTGCTCGGATTGACTGCAATCGTGAGCGGGCGATCGCTTCTTATCTCTTAAATGATATATAGACATAAGTATAGAGGTACACTTAACTATTTACATAAATTAATTTGTCAACTAATAAGGGACGCTATGGTTTACGTTAATGTTTTATAAATTAATTTAAATAACACGTATTCCTTCTATCGTTGAATATATTTTGAATCACATTGAATATATTTACTTTATCAGTTCGCGGCATACAAGTTTAGAATTTTGTCTCAGTGCCCTGGCCAAGCGAAAAAATGTACAATGACACTAAGTCACAAAAATTAAAACACCCACAACATGAACCTGAGTTTCCTTTTTGAATCACAGAAATAGAAATAGCAAAATAGAAAATAAAATACAATGTCAACTTACTCAACGTGTGAGCTTGGTGTTCTTCACACATATTTTTCAAAGCGTAGGATAAGGTTTGACACTCTTATTTCTTGCTCTACATAAATCTTTGAGCGATATTTACTCGTTACTTTGTACCGCGAATACAATAAGTTTAGTTTCCGGATAATGGTAAACAGGAGCGCCTCACGGCGCCCCCTTTACTCTCTTCGGCGCACTAGGGCGCCGCGGCGCACACTTTGGAAACCCATGAGCTAGATAGTAGTGGAACTTAACTATCGATTAAGTTGTAACATTGAAATGGAAATATGCACATAATGATGAAATGGTTTTAAATAAAATAACTTACTTGTCGCTTCGCATAACACTACTTTACCACTAAAATCTACACACGGAAGAATTGGGAGGGAGCCATGCCGCACTCATATATGTTATATGTACGTGGCAGAGCCATGCTGCAGATATATTATGTTTGCAACACGAATGGGTCGGCTCGAAGGACCAAGCTCTCACAGAATACCAGCGTGAAATAGCAGATTAATGCTGCTGTGTTACGTATGGTGAGAGTAGAGAACCGGAGACTATTTTACATGAAAGCAAATCATCTTAGTCTTCAAGGGTGACAATGCATCTCAATTTTGTTTCTTGATCGAGGAATGATGTAGATCTCTATGGGCCACTGCATTAACTTACCATCGGGTGGACTGTGCGCTCGTTTGTCACCCATATTTCACCAGACCCAGATGTATGATTGAGTGGCTATGAATTGATAGCCGGACTGAATACCAGTGCTGTCGTGTCTGAAGCTGGTCCATTTCTCAGTCTGAACGGAGACTAACTATTTGCAGGGTACAGGATTATAGTGCCCGAGTGCATGCGGAAGCACAGGTGTACTCTCTATTCCATCATTCATAATCCAATAGGACAGTAATTCGACACGACCCGATAGAGATCAGGCGAAGGACCAACGTCTTTAAGTCTTTCTGATGCACGGGAATGAAATACCGCAAACTTTCTGACTCCAGGACTGCTACTCATAATTTCTTAACAAAAAAAAACAATAAAAACACTTATGGTATTTATTGGTTAAACATTAAAGCATAAATCAATTTATATGCACGTGGAAGTTCTTCAAAGGCAGGAAAATTCAACGTCATCGAGATAAGTAAATGCATGTGTTTGTACACACACATATTTATATTGAAATTATACATCGATGGGTTATCTCCAATATAACTCGAGAGGAGACATAAAATATCGAAACTAGCGTTCGATTAAATGGCTTTTAATTAAGTAAATATATTACTATGTCGAGTTAAGATACAGCGTGATATACTTATTCGCGTTAAACTTAGATGCGTTTCAAAGTTTATCTAATGAAGTGGTCTGCTAGATAAATTAGATTGTTAACGTAGAACTAAGTATGAATGATATTATAACGCAATCGTACTAAATCACTTCTTTAAGTTTAACAAATTGTATGTCGTAATAAATAACGACAAAAAATGATAAATCAGCAAATGTGAATCCGGCCTCGCTTGCAGGGTACATAGGTCATATTCCTACCTTCATATTAGGATGAGTTAACTTTTTTTAAACTGGATATTTAAGTAGGTAATGAGTTTTCTGTCTTAGATCTTAGATACAAATCACACAGTTCACAAATTACATAATGGATTGATGATTTAAGTGTTGAAGGTAAATAAAATATATGGTACATAATACACAGAAATTTCAAAATAAAAACTAATTTAGTTATTGAATAGAATAGAATAATGTTTATTCATTATTGATTACAAGTAATTCTCGTTGAAAGTCATTTTTTTTTTACTTTACCACTGGTGCGAAAAAATCCAAAGTCCTGGGAAGAACCAGCAAGAAATCCAGCGGGACTTTTTTTAAATAAATTTTACAATATAAATGATTACAAACTATTTACAAAATTTATTTTAGAAACAGCTTGGAATCGACCACGTAATCCCAGGAGTTATTATCAACCATGTATTCATTTATATTATGATAACCCTTATTATACACTTTTTGTTTATTTAAATATATAAATTTGGTAAAAGAAATAGAAGATTTTGTTGTAATAGCGTATACATTGCCCCAAGAATGAATTAGTGACTCTGTGGAGTCGAGAGACTGGTATCAATCACTGGCTTATATTGGTTCGTAATGTTTACAGAGTGTATATCACTGTTTTTACTAAAACTATCTTTGTTTTTGTGAACATACATTAAATTTTCGTAAATATACTGAGAGGTTCATACGTGGTAGAGCCATGCTACAGCTATATTGGTAGTGTAATTGTAGCACGAATGGGTCGGCTCGACCGGGGAAGGACCACGCTCTCACAGAATACCAGCGTCAAATAGCAGCTTAACACTGCTGTGTTTCGTATGGTGAGTGTAGAGAACCGTAGACCCTTTTTACTGCAAAAGAGGCATTCCATCGTAGTCCTCACGGATGACAACGTATCTGCATTTTGATTCTCGAACGAGGATAGATGTAGATGTATATGGGCCACAGCAACCACTTACCATCAGGTGGACTGTGTGCTCGTTTGTCTCCCTATCTTATAAAAAAGGCCAAAGTTTACATATTTATTTCTTTAAAATTTTCTCTAAAAGTCTCTCTCGGTTTAAGGTTGTAAATAACTCTTATGGCCCTCTTCTGCATTACATTATGCTATGGAAATAACTGAAATAAACTAATCTAGTTATCTCAACACTACTGACATATCTAATATTTTTTACAGCATAAGCTGCAGAGCTTAGTCTGCTTGCTAGCTTAGTTATATGGGGGCCCCACTGAAGCTTTGCGTCGAGAGTGATGCCAAGAAAAACAGAGGATTCGACAGGGCTCAGTTCTTCCCCATTTAAAAACACATTGGTATTCAGATTTATAACATTGAGGTAGACTCTGCAACAAATACGATTTAAAAGTGACCACTCGGATGCCCCCCCCCCCCCCCCCCCTATTCCTTTATTTTTGACCGAGAAAACGTATAAAAATAATATTCATTCTCTAATCATTGAGCTAGACTAACTCTACTAACTCGACTAACTTTAGACAGTGACAACCCAAATGATAGAAAAAACAATTCGGCTGGTTTTTAACCGACTTCAGAAATGACGAGTTTCTCAATTCGAGTGTATGTTTTTTTTTGTATGTATGTTACGCGATTCCTTCGCAGATTGTGAACCGATTTTAATGATTACTTTTTTATTAAATAGGGTATACTTCAAGAGTAGTTCCAATATAAATTTGGAGAAAAAATTTCACCCCTAAGGTAGTAAATAAATAACTTCTTTATTAGCAATCTTAAGACGGATTTTACTTTTGTTGAAAGTTATTGTCCTATGATCACGTGTTAATCCAATGATGATTATATGTAAAACATTGTATCAAACTAATGAAGTAGACATAATTGCAAATTGGTCAGTCGCCAAAACAGTAATAACTATGTAAATTCGGACATTCTCTTCGTTATTTCGGAAAAACTAGACAAGCTTCTCGTGTAGTAATACGAGATATACTGAGGACGATTCTTCAATAAAAAAAAACTGTAGACGTATCATATTTATCTCACTTATTAATGCGTAGCCTAGTAATAATAATATCCTCCAGCCCGAATCTAAATCACGGTGGCCAGTCTCAACGGAGACTAGCCATCTGTGCAGGACAGGATTATAGTGCCCGAGTGTATGCAAGCACAGGTGCACTCTCTATATCCTCAACTCTCATTAACCGATGGGACGGCAATCCAACACAACCTTAGAGACATCAGGCGAAGGACCTACGGCTTTGCGTGCTTTCCGAGGCACAAGGGTGAAACACCGCCAACTTCCTGACTCCAGGCTGCTTCTGAGAATTACTTGAAAGAAAAACCCAAAACTGACTTTCATCTGACCCGGGATTCCAAGCCAGGAACTCATAATCAACAATCGCGTTTACATGTAAAGTGAAGTTGTACGAATGGGTCGGCTCGACCAGGTAAGAACCACGCTCCCACACAATACTAGAGTCAGATAGCA